GCCCTGCACAGGCACCCCCCGCCTGCACATGCACCCCTTGCCCTGCACACGTACCCACCCCTGCCTTGCACATACACACTCACCCTGCATTACATCCCCATCCTGCACACGCACCCACTCTTGTCCTGCACACGCACCCCCCCGCCCTGCATGTGCGCACCCTGTCCACACGCACCCCCACCCACTGTTCGGTGTAGTGGCCTCTGTCCAGCAGTGTACAAGGTGCTCTGTTGCCTGGGCTGTGGGTGTTCACAAACTGACCCAATTTCCTGGCTTTGTCCTTCTGCCTCCAGGGGTTTATGGCTTCCTCACCTTTGGGACGGGCGTCTCTGCCGACGTCCTGATGTCCTACCCAGGCAATGACACGGTCATCGTCGTCGCCCGCGTGCTCTTCGCGGTCTCCATTGTGACTGTCTACCCCATTGTGCTCTTCCTAGGGAGGTGAGGCCCCTGGTGGGCGACACTGTCCACATGGGGCGGGGACTTGGCACATGCCAGGCGTGTGCTGGCGTGCCCTGGGCACTAGCGGCGGCGTCTGCTGCACAGGGCAGCAGGCGGGCCCCGAGACCTTCAGGCATTTGCCCAAAACATCTCAGGGGGCATTGGTGGCAGAGCCAGCCCTCCCCACCTGGCCACTCCTGGGCTGCCGAAGCCGAGCTTGGCGGGGTCCGGGTGGAGCAGCTCTGCTGGGTGTGGGGGACTTGGGGTGTCACTGCTGGCTGGAGCCCTGGGATGCCTCCAGGTCGGTGATGCAGGACTTCTGGAGGCGGAGCTGCTGGGGAGCACTGGCCGAGCCCTGGGGGCTGCGGGTCCGGATGCTGCTGACCGTCCTGTGGGTCACTGTGACACTCACCATGGCCCTGCTCCTGCCCGACCTGGGTGAGATCGTTGGCATCGTTGGCGGCGTGAGCTCCTTCTTCATCTTCATCTTTCCAGGTGAGGCACCCCTCTCCGCCTCGCCGCTGGGCTGGTCTTCTCTCTCGTCTCTCTGGGGCTCCCATGGAGGTCAAGGCTCTGGAGGGTGGGAGCCCCACGGGGGAGCATTCCCACTCAGCAGCCGTGGTCACCGGGCGGGGCTGGGCCAGGGCTTCACGTACCTTCTCTCATAAGGCCCCTCACCAGCCCTGGTGACACCCTTGCACCATCTCCGCCCACGGAGGGAAGCCCGAGGCCCAGAGCAGCCTGGGGGCAACCGGTGTGTGGCAGGTCTGGGTGCCACACAGCACAGCCCCCACCGCCACCGCCCATGGCAGAAGTCTGATTTATTAAGAGTGATTTTTTCTAGGACCAGCCTGTGAGCCAGGGTGTAGGGAGCCAGAGCCCACATGACCAACCGCGTGTCTTGAGGGGTGTGTGGGAGGGCCCAAAACCCTGAACGGAAGGAGAGGCAGGGAAGGGATTACAGTGCACCATCCCTGTGTGGGGTGCTCTCTCTCTCCTCTCCTCTCTCTCTCTGGTGAGTACACAGGCCCTCTGGCAAATTTTTCCTTGGGTGTGTGAAACATGGCTCAAGATGCAAAGGAGTGGGAACCAGCAGTTAGCGTAATGGCTATGTCGCTGGACTCCCACGTAGTCGACCGCGGTTCGCATCCCAGACCCGGTGGCTTAAAACTCAGGCCGGGCGCGTGTGCGTGTGTGCCCAAGATCCCGAGAGGAGAATGGAGGAGAAGGGATTGCGGCGTGACCATCCCCCCTGGGGGGTGATTTCTCGCTTTCTGTCTCTCTGTCTCTCTCTGTCTGTCCGGCGAGCGCATGCACCCTATAGCGAAAACCTCTCAAAAAAAAATAAAAAAAGATGCAAAGGGGTGTGGGAAAGCCTCCCGCCCCATGCCCAGCCCCGGAGGCCAGTGATACATGGGAACCCCCTACACCCCCAGAGTTGGTGACGCTGGTGGGAACTCAGTCCAGGCCACCCGGCTGGCATCTCAGACACCCAGCCAGGCCGAGGGTGGGAGCAGTGCAGGGACCCACGGAGCTCAGAGCAAAACCCAGATGCGCAGGGGTGGGGTGTCCCAGGTATCCACACGCAACAGGTGCCCAGCACACAGTAGGTACTCCATCAGCATGTGCTTGTGAGAGGAGCTGTGTCGGGCAGTGACCTTGGGGGGCCCTTAGCCAGATACCCCCAGCTCTGGAGGGAGAAGTGGGCGTCCTGTGGCGACGCTCTCAGAAGGGCCCGTGGAGGCCTTAGAGGTTCCCGAGCTGGGCTGGGGGTGGGCGAGGTGCCGTCCAGGCCCAGGTAAGTGGCCCCTGGGGACCTGACCTGAGACCGATGTGTGCCAAGGGAAAGCTCCTGTCGTGATATCCCGGGGCTCCCACAGCACCAGCCCAGCCCTGTGAGGGAGGGCGTGCTCAGTGGCACCTCCCTCGGTGTCCCTCAGGGGTGCAGGGCGGGTGTCTCAGCCTTGCCTCTGCTGGAAGGCACCTACTAAGGGACGGGGTTGGGGTGGGAGGGGCTTCCGCAGCCCCTCCAGGCAGGGCCGGGCTTTGAATCCCAGCAGACTGATTTTAAAAATGGAAAAAACCTTAAAAAAAAAATAAGGCAATAAGGAAAACAACACCCCCCCAGAGCTGAGACTGGCTGGCCCCCCCCGGGGACCCCGCCCCG